GATTGAAATGGGATGACAAGTTCCTAAATCTGATCATCTATGAAGTGAGGACAATGGTTGAGGACCAAATGGGACACTGTACATAAAGGCATTTTGTAAACTGAAGTGCTAGGTAAACTATGGCTAATATTTTTTAAACTTTAAGGCAATATATAAATGCTAGCTAGTTGCTGTATTATTGGCATCATCACCATCATTATCATGAATCTAGGTCTCATCTTTTTTTGGCAGAATTAAAATAGAAAGTCATTGGAATTAATGACAGCAAAGATAATTTCCCACTGTTTTCTAGCCATCAATGCTTACTACTTAAATGTGCAGTGTATAATAATAATAATAGCTAACATTTATATAGTGCTTACTATGTGCCAGGCACTGTGCTAAGTGCTTTACAGTTATTATGTTATTTGATCTTCACAACTGGGATGATTCTCATTTTACAGATGAGGAAACTGAGGCAAATAGGAATTAAGTGACTTGCCCAGGGTCACAAGCTAGCAAGTGTCTGAGGCTGCATTCGAACTCAGATCTTCCTGTCTCCAGACCCAGCACTCTATCCATCGCGTCACCTAGTCACCCACTGTGTACCTAGCTACAGAGTATTGGACCTGGAGTCAGCAGGCTACACAGTGACACTGAGAGGTGTCTGGTTAATGGTCCCCTGAAAAATCAGTAAAATGACTGAACTCCCACCTCCAGTCCTACTGACTCTTGGCTCTGACAACCAGGAACCTGCTGCTTTGTATATCTGGGTTTCAAACCTGCTGGACTTCCTTGGGTTGGGATGAGTTACACTGGAGGTGGGGACTCAAGTACACCAGAATGAGAATCCTATCTTGGACGCTGACTTCTCTGGTGTGTGTGTGTGTGTGTGTGTGTGTGTGCCTTGAGTAAGTCACATTAACCCACCCCCTCAGTGGCTTGACTTTTTCAGCTACAAACAGCTGTAACGAAAGAACCTTTGGAAGGCTGGGCCTCAGTATGTAGTCGCAGAGCCTTTTGAAGTGGAAACATCTTGTTATCAGTGGGCTGGTGCCAGGCCAGATGATTTTAGTACCTTTAAATTTTCTTCTGTGGGACAGCGTCTCATATTAAAACAAGAGTAAATGAATTTGGAAGAGCGCCCGTGTGACCTGAATACGGCACTCACAAAGTCAGGGAGTAGCACTCACTGGTGTTTCTGAGTGGCTCAGGATTCAGTCATCCTGCTTCTTTTCACGTCTCAGGAAACACAGGAAACAGGGTATCAAAATCCCTGCCACCTCAGAGGAAACTGGAATGTCCTAGCTAGGCCTGAGTCAGCCTTTCTTGGTAGGTCAAGAGAACAGATTAGATTTGGGAGATCGGTTCCTGTGGTAACCTTCATTTTAGAATTTACTGTTGCTTTATGTGTGTATGTATGTGTGTGTTATGGGCCTATGTACGTCGGTATTTATACATAAATATGTATACATACACACTAGAATAAAGAAAAGAAAATGGTTTTAATTATTGTTCTATGAGGAGTGGAGCTAAAAAACAAAGGCCTGAAAAGATGGTACTTTTGCCAAGTGTTGCTCCACTTCTGAATTCTTTATGTTCTTTCTATCCAGAGGCACTAGGGGTGAGCGGTTGGTTAGCTTCTCTGGAAAGACTGCAGATCTTATTCCTTGCTGGGGTTTGCTCCTCCCTTGGTTAGTAACATTTGCTCCTAGGTAACATCTGCAGAGATTTCTGTATAAGCAGCACTAGGGACATAGCTAAGCTCCAGCCATCATTGCTTATACCATGCATCACTGTTGTACTTCAAATAGGACTTTAAAGGGGAAACTTACTACCAAATGAAGAAGAGGAAAACACACACACACACACATAGATATAGATATATATATATAGATATATATAGATATATATATCTATATATATATAGATATATATATCTATATATATATATATATAGAGAGAGAGAGAGAGAGAGAGAGAGACAGACAGACAGAGACAGACAGAGACAGAAACAGAGTCAGAGAAGGCGAGAGAGAGATAGAGAGACAGACACACAGAAAGAGAGGGAGAGAGGGAGAGGAGGAGGAGGAGGAGAAAGAGAGAGAGAGAGAGAGAGAGAGAGAGAGAGAGAGAGAGAGAGAGAGAGAGAGATTGAGAGGAGAATTTTTTCAGACAGACAGACAGGAGACCCTCTTAGGCTAGGGTGTTCCTTTCCTTCTGAGTCAGAGCTGAAGGGGACCCCAGAGGCTTCTTCCAGAGGATGTGGGCTTGCTGGTTTAGGAGTGGGGGAGGATTAGACAAGAAAAGGAAAAACAATACTTCAGTTTCCCTCAGAGGCTCCCTCAGGAGGCTACACTCCCTGCCTGAGAAACCCAGAACCCAGATAATGCCAAAATGTTTGAAGCTGGCCAGGCTCCAAGTCATTTTCCTTCTCAAACTGAAGAGTAGTAGCCTTTCTTCAGGCCAGGTTTCACAAAATAAAATAAAAGGCAAAACTGCTATCAGCTCTTGGGGTTAAACTCTTGACTTGGGGGCCTGAGGGCTCATGGAGGTTGAGAATGACAGATTGCCTTTTGAGCTAAAAAGGACCTCAGAGACCATATACTCTAATGTCTACATTTTATAGATGAAGAAACTTAAGTCCAGGGGTGGCTAGGTGGCGCGGTGGATAAGAACACCAGCCCTGGACTGAGGAGAACCTGAGTTCAAATCTGGCCTCAGACACATAATACTTCCTAGCTGTGTGACCCTGGGCAAGTCACTTAACCCCATTGACTGGCCTAAAAAAAAAAAGGAAAAAAAAGAAAAAGAAACTTAAGTCCAGAAAGGGGAAGGAATTTATCCAAGGTCATATAGTAAGTTAATGAGTAAGTCTACTTAGGCAAGTGAAGATCTCAAAGCACCTTCCAACTTCGTCTGGGGAGAGGAGCTTTCCCCATTCTCCTTTTTGTGTAAGGAAAAAACCAAGATGTAAAATATGTTGAATAGCACCCTCCAAGTTACTCAGAGTGTTAGTAATAGTACAGAGGCAGTGAGACAGAAAAGAGAGCTCTGGATTAAACATCAGAAATGTCTGGGTTCATCTCCTGCCTCAGGCACCACTAGTTTCATGATCCTATGCAAATCACAAAGTCTTTCTAAGCCTCAGTTTCCACATTTGTAAAACAATGATAATAATAGCACCTAACTACCAAGGTTGTTATGACAATCTATGTTGTGACAACTTGTGACAAAGCAAACCCTTTGTAAACTGTGAAGCACTATGTAAAAATGAGGTAGTAACATCTAAATAGAGAAGCCTTGAACACCAGATTTCCCCTTAGAAACCAGTTCTAGAAACAAATACAAATGCAAGACACACCTTTTTTTGGGGAGTGGTAGTGGTACAGTTCTGCTGTGCTATCTTTCCTGTGCCTTCCTACCCAGACTGAACCTCCAAAACAGAAGTGACCAAAAGACAAACTTCCTAACCAAGGCACTTGACAGATACAGTTTTAAAAGCCTTTAACATTGCCTACCTAGGTCCTTGGACAAAGGGAAATCAATGACCTTGAGATGGATCCCAAAGTTGTGGGATCCCTAACTCCAATACAAGCATCCCTTGTGTGATGTGCTGATTTCCACCACAAGTGAAATCCATAGGTGAGATCCTTGGTGCTGGATAATCGTGAGACACAAAACCAAAGAGAAGAATACCAGTAAGGCTCTTGTTTGTATAGCAGTCTTGTAGAAGTCATTCTCAGCACTGAGTTCCAATGAGCCAATGGCATCTCAAATCATTGAAACAGGAAGCGAGATAAACAACATATTATCAGCGAGGAGATGGAGCTGATTCCCGTATTCCTAGGACGCCAGCCAGCTGAGCCCAGTGAATGTCCTAGCAAAGTCTGCTTTCCCTACCAGCTGATGTTCTTGTATTCAGCTCTGGGGAACAGGGTTCCCTCTTTGCTGGATAAATTGACTCATCATCTCCCTCTTTCCCCCCAGATTCTTGCTTTCCACATTTGCTCTGTGTGGGGCTAAGCTGGCTTTTTTTTTTTTGACCGCCCTCCCCTTCCCTTCCCAGGATCTAAGTCTCTAGAATGACCCTCTAATAAACTCCACTCCCCAAGAGTTTCCTTTACTCCCAGACAGCAGACACTTGGGGAGTGGGGAGGAAGGGGGCTGGTACCAGAGAGAAAAGCACCAGAGTAAAGATCAGCAACCATTACAGAGAAGCTGGGGGATCAGGGATGTGTCCTGACCTAACCACAGGGAGGCAAATTCTAAAATGGCTACAAAGTCACCTGCCCTAGCCCTCTGGCTCTTCCTGTCCCCTCTGTCACAACTAGTCAGCAAGCTAGAAAAGTTCAGTGCCATTGGGAGCTTCACGGATAGAAGCTGTAGCTGTGGGAAGAGTGTGGGAAATACAGTACTCTATATTTTGTGTCTGCCTTCACAGAAACTCAAAATTCTGATATATCTATCAAACCTAAGGTGAAAAGATATAGTAAAGTTGACTGTTTTGATAAATGCCAATAGGGTCTATATGCGGTGAGTTTGCTGTCAGGCTTATATCTATAGCTTTCTATGCTTATGTTAACTGTCTTTGTCTCTCTGCCTCTTTGTCTCTCTGTCTCTGAGTCCATCTCTGTCTCTCTGTGTCTGTCTGTCTCTGTCACTGTGACACTCTCTCTCTCTCTCTCTCTCTCTCTCTCTCTCTCTCTCTCTCTCTCTCTCTCTCTCTCTGTTTCTCCATCTCTTGTCTCTTTCCCTCTGGGCCTCTGTCTCTGTCTCTGTCTGTCTTCCCCCCCCCCCACTCCTTCCTTTTCTCACTCACCAGTCCGCAAAGTCTCCCCCCTCTGCCAAACCAGCCCCAGCCCAAGACTGGACATTGCCCATCAGCCACGGCTGGAACCCCAAGTGTCAGACCTCTCTCATTCTTCCGTCAGCCACCAACCGCAACAAACCAGTGGTGACTCAGACGCCGGGACCTTCCGAGCTCATAGAGTCAGCCAAGCGACAGAGAAGCCACTCACCGTTTGAGTCTGTCCTCAGGTCCGCTTATGCATGCCGGTGGGGGCTGCCCATCTTCCAGAAGCAGATCTCGTTCCCTTCCAGAGCTGCCCCACTATGTACCCTCGCGCCTCAGAAAGTTTGTTCAGGGGCTCCCCCTGGCCGCCAGACCCGGCCCCCTGAGCCGAAGTGCGGCGGCGGCGCCTGCTTGCGTCCTCGTCCCTAGTTCTCCTCCTTCTCCTCCTCTTCCTCTCCTTCTCTTCCTCTCCGAGCCCTCTCACAGAGCCAGCAGCGGACTATGCCTCCACAATGGGTACGGCAGCATCCTGAACAAAGTGCGGTCCCCCGGGATCCCCCGGCGAGGAGGTGGAGCCATGTGACCCGCTGCCCCCAAGGCACACGCCAGCCCTTTATGCTGCTGGCTTAGGGGAGGGGTGGGTGTGCCAGGCCACTGCCGGGATGGGAGGAGATAGAGGGATGGAGGGAGGGAAGGAGGGAGGGAGGAAGGGGACTTCTCTGCTTTGGACTCCCCCCCCCCGCCCCATGCCAGTGTAAGCCGCAGAGGGGCGGAGGCATAGGTCCCTTCCAGACTTTGTCATTGGAAAGCTATTCCCAGTAACCCTTTCTTGCCTTCTCCACGCCCCTCCCCGCACCCCTCCCCCCTGCCCCAGCTCCCCCTCTCTCCTCTCTCTCATAAGTAGAAAGAACAACTCTTTGGTGGTGAGACTCAGGTTCCTTCCTGGCCAGAGCAGGAAACCTTTACACATGTGAGGTTTTCCTTGGCTCATTGATCCTCCCTCCCCTCTCAGTGCCCCTTTCCTTATATCAGCAGGTACTTCTTCCTCCTCCTCCCACCCTCAACTCCTATTCTGTATGTGATTTTCTTGATTTCCTAGGACAAAATGGGAGAACAGCCCCAGGTTGCTTCTTGCTCCCTGCTGACCCTTCATAGGATCTTAGATCTAGAGAGGCCATCTGATAGGACTTAGACATTTGACAGCTTAAGAAACTGGGTTAAAGGACTTGTCCAAGGGTCATACAGGTAATGTCAGGGTTGGAATTTGAAACTTCCAATTCTCCCTCTACTCCCAACAAAAAAAAAAATCAGAACTGTGTTCGGGTGATTTAGGTTAGTTATCATGATGCTTTCCCATCTCTTCAGCAGAATGAACTATTGAACTGAGACCTGGGAAGTCAGTCAGCTAGCATTTATCAAGCACTTACTATGTGCCAGGCACTGTTCTCAATTCCTCATGCTGCTACCTTACCTTTTAGCAAAATATGGAGAAAGCATTGCATTGGGAATTGAGACCTAGGTCCTACTCTTGTCACCAGCAACCATGAGACTTTGGGAAAATCAAAACCTCCCTGAGCTCAATTTCTTCATCTGAGGTGCTTGGGCTCTTCCAACTCCAACAAGACTCTACAAGTCCTTCAGAGCCAGAGCTGGAAGTGACTTTACCCATCAACCAGTTCAACCCCTGAGTAAGGAGTAAGGAGAGTGTGATGTTATTTGCCCAAGGTCACCCAAAGCAGTAAGTAGCAGGGCTGAGGTGTGAACTCAGGTCTTCCAACTCCAAGGCTGTGTCTGCTATACCTTGCTGCTCCTACCTTGTCCTATCCCCCTCGAGGGTTTTAGAAGTGGGAGAGGAGGTGAAAAATGAAAGGTAAGAGGACTGGGAGAGCAGGAATGAATAATGGTGAGAGACTGGAGAACAGAATCAGAGAATTTTTGAGTTCCATGGTGCCTTAGAGATTATTTGGTTCAATCTCCTACTCAAAATAGCAATTCCCTTAATAGTATCTGTGACAGCTGGTTATTAAGCTTCTGCATGAAGAAGGCAGTAAGAAAAAATAGGGTAGCCCTTCCCACTGGACATCTCTGTAGAGAGCTTTGAGTTCCACAGAAGAAAAACGTGGGAGAAACCCAGGCATTAGCTGGGTCTACAAACCTGGCCATTGGGAATAGAGAATACCAGGGCTCAAGAGCTAGACTTTGAGGGCTGTTTGCATACTTGCACGTCTGTATTGGGGGGGGGGTGAGTTGGGGAGAATGCCAGAAAAAAATAAGCACTAGGCCCAGAATCAAGAAGACCTGAATTCAAATCTGGCTTCAGATACTTGCTACTTATGTGACCCCAGGCAAGTCACTTAAGCCCTATTTGCCTCAGTTTCCTCATATGTAAAATGGGGATGATAATAGCACCTACCTCCCTGGGTTGCCATGGGGATCAAATGAGATAATAATTGTAAAAATACTTATTGCAGTGCCTGGCACATATTAAATGATATACAAACACATTGTTATTGTTGTTATTGCTATTATTGTTATTATAATAATAATCATTATTACATTCTCTATGAGTTCTTCAAGCACTTCCTAGGCCAGGTCCTCTTTGAGAACGATGGACAAACAACAAGGCCAGATCAAGAGTCTGGAGCAGAGCCAGGATGAAAAGCCTGGAGTCCTCACTGCTAATCCCAACCAAGCCACTTGTCCTATTGGAGAGCTGAAAAGATTTGTTTCCAAATAAGAGCATGGTGCTAGCAACACTGGCTTAGTGGTAGCATGGACAAAGCAAATTATTCTTCTTTAAAAATTATTTTCACTTAAGAGGAATATTATTTTATGGTTTGTTGTTGTTTTTCCTCATATAGAGACAAGAGGGACATGAGGGACAAGAAAGAGAAAGGTATAGCAGAGAGGAGCCCCTTATCTTATGACTACAGCATCAAAACAAAATGGTCTTAGGCTTGTGCTCAATGTATAGAGTGCTGGGCCTGGAGTCAGGAAGAATGGAGTTTAAATCTAGCCTCAGACACTTACTGGCTATGTGACCCTGGGCAAGTCACTTAACCTACCTTTGCTTCTGTTTCCTCAACTGCAAAATGGGGCAAATGATAGCACCTACTTCTCAAGACTGCTGTGAGGATCAAATGAGATGATATTTGTAAAGCTCTTAACACAGTGCCTGGCACATAGTAGGTACTTAAGAAATACTCATTGTCTTCTTTTATCATAAGTGCCTTTGTCAATCCAACATTCTCCTTAGCATTCGTCCATCCTCTTTGATACCAGTTTGACAACCATAATAATCCCACGTAATGCTTTCCATATAACATAAGTAGTTTAAATATTATCACCATTTTACAGATGAAAGCACTACAGCTTAGATGGTTTAAGTGATTTGCGTATGCATAAGAGCTTAAGATTCAAACCTAGGACTCTAGCTTCCAATATTCTTAGAGTAGATTACTGTTGCATGGGCAAAGAGAGAGAGAGGCTCAGATAATACTATGTGACTGAGATCCATTCCTTTTGAGCTGCAACTTATTGTGACAAGCCTTGCAGTGGCTCTCTAAGAATAGCTTGGAGTCAAATCCTGAAAACGAATAAATCTTGGATAACCAGATTGGCCAGAGGGGACGTAGATAATAGGGATTATAGTTAGGGTGCTCAGTACTAAGCCTGGATGGTACTATTGATAAAGACTGAGAACAGATCCCCTCCCATTATATGCCTCAGTTTCTGCTTTTGTAACCCTGGGATCATAATCTTTAATCTATAGTAAAAGCTCACATGTATGTAGTACTTCAGGATTTACCAAGAGCTCTAGGAGACAATAAGTACAAATGAGCTTATCTATCAGACATCAGAGAAATTAAACATTCTCTCTAGCTAGACTGTGCTGAGGTTCTCCATCCGTCAAGAGGACCACTGTCTTCCACCATTTGAACATGACCAATCACTTCTATCCCTTCTGACTCCATCCTCCATCATGCTCTGCATACACCAATCATGAACCATTGACAGTAAACAAATAATAATAAAAACATTTAAGAGCAACTGGTTAGATGAGTGAATATGATTGGTAGGAGAGAAAATAGGTGAGTGAATGGGTAGGGAGAAAAGGTGAAGATAATAATAATATTATTAATAGCTAGCATTTATATCACTACTATACAGTTACTATAGTCTACTTTATGTCAGACACCGTGGTAAGCATTTTACAAATATTACCATTTGTTCCTCACAACAACCTTGATTATTACCCTCATTTTACCAGTGAGGAAACTGAGGCAGACAGAGGTTAAGTGACTTACCTGGGGTCACACAACTAGTGAATGTCTGAGGCCGGACCTCAGGCCCAAAGATTTATCCATTGTGCCACATGAAAAAATCCCCGGGCTGGAAGTTAGTAGCAGTGGGTTTTAGCCTTGGATATTTCACTAACTCATGGTGTGACCTTGCCTCGTTGTTATTATTCAGTCATCTCAGTCATGTCTGACTCTTCCTGACCCCACTTGGGGTTTTCTTGGCAGAGATACTGAAGTGGTTGTCATTTCCTTCTCTAGTTCATTTGACAGATGAGGAAACTGAGGCAAACAGGGTTAAGTGACTTGCCCAGGGTCACACAGCTAGTAGGTATCCGAGGTCATACTTTGACTCAGGAAGATGAATCTTCCTGACTTCAGCGCTGTATCCATTGTACCATCTAGCTGCCTATGACCTTGACTAGGTTACTTCATCTCTCTAGACCTCAGTTTGAGAGGGTTCGACTACACCGTCTGTTAAAAGTGTCTTTTCATCCTAAGTTCCCATGTTCCTAGAGTGAATAGCTAGGTAGCTGACAGAGTGAGCAGGAGAAAAAAGGGGTGACTAGTAAAGTGACCCCAACATCCTGCTGACTCATTTACTGATTCTTGAACATAATGAGGAAAAGTTTATTTTGGTTCAGGCTGAATTTGGCTCAGAAACAGGGACCCAGGAAGAAGAGATGACCCTTGGCCCAAATTACTGCAGCATGAGTGGGTAGGTTTTTTTGTTGTCTTTTTCTTTTTCTTTCTTTTTTTTTTAACTTAAGCACAGCAGAGATGACTCAGTGGTTTTGAATGAAACAAATGGGTTTTCTTTAAATATGAAAATCAATAAATGATGAACTCAGAACCCTGGCTGAGGCTATAGTCACTAAGGGAGAAGGAGGAGAAGGAAGAGGACGAGGAGGAGGTGGAGGAAGAGAAGAGCATGGTGAGACAGGATCTTGATGAGGTTATCCTTTGCCTGGGAGATAAGAATTGAACAGTAAATAATGGAGAGAGTGACAGCATGGTACAGAATGACATGACCCACTGGTGCCATGACAGGAGAGCCCCAGCAGGGAGGAGCCAGGCTCATCTTCCTGCCAAGGCCCCTCAGGGCCTTGTCATTGACCTGCTGAGTAGAAGTTTCTTTCCTTCTTCCCCCATCTCCAGTCTCTACCCACCACCACCATCAGCCTCTCCTTTTCAACACTGTTATTGCTTTAGGGTAGGAGAGAATTAACATGAAGATCAGTGTCAGTTTTACAAATAGACTTTTAAAAATCAGTCTATTTGC